GAGGGGTGGGTGGGGGGCGCGCGGGCATCACTCGTTCTTGTGCCCCCGACGTGCGCGTGTGGGGTGCCGCCACCTCCCCTTGCTATTGGTTTCTCCCCAGGAAGCTGGCCGCGGCCGCGCTCGGCGGCGCTCCCAGCACATTAAAGCCTGCCTCTTCATGAAACTGCTGCGTTCACGTTGCTGTTCTCCCTCTTCCCTTCCGCAAACCCGGTCGCGTGTTCGCCCTCTGCTTTCACCTCCTCAGCCAGACCACCCGGCATCAGGAGGGTCTCGGCACCTCCTCTCCTTCCGTCTCTTTCCTGGGTCAGGATGGTCGCTTGTAGGATAGCCTGTGTTCTGCGGCGTTATTTCCCAGAAGGCACCCGAGTCCCTCGTTCGTACGACCTACAGTGTCTCTGAGAAACCAGCTAGCTTGCACATAAAAGGTCTCGCTCCTCTGTTGTTTTTGACTTGGTCCTTTGTGGTAGACTCTGCCTAATGGCTTGCAAACCCTTCTGTCTGCTGAAACCAGGAGCAATTCTGTTCATCTTTCACACGGCAGGTGACACTCGCGCCCTTTTTGCCTGTCCTTTCTGAACCCGTCCTTCTGTGTTAATACGCTGGTTGTGTCACGCTGAGTGATACGTCAGTTATTTCATCCTTCTGATCATGCATCGCAACCTGGTTGCACCTGCGTTGATGTCGGTCGAGGTATTCACTTGGTGTCCTCTTCCTCATTCCTCCCTGCCACAAGAAAGACTGGAGGTGGGCCTTGATGATGTTCCAAGGCGAGGTCCCACAACAGTAGGAGACCCTTGGAGAGAGTAAGCCAGTGCTGTCCTGACTGCAGCTCTGTGGCGGGGCAGCAGGCCCCTCTGTCGATGCAGCACGTGCCACTCTACGTTCCCTTCGTGCCATCCCGCTCCAGTCTCTCGAGACAGCAGACTCCCAAAAGGGGAACGGTTTCCATCCTCAGGGAGTTGCACTACGTGATTTTGGAGAAAAATCATTTGAGGGAGTGCTTTAAAATCGCCCTGAAGTACTTAACGTTGCTTTGCTCTCTCCAGATACCTTTTGTATGATGTAAATCCTCCTGAAGGGTTCAACCTTCGCAGAGATGTCTATATTCGCGTTGCATCGCTGCTGAAGACTTTGCTGAAAAGTGAAAACTGGGTGTTAGTTCTGCCTCCTTGGGGACGTCTTTATCACTGGCAGAGCCCTGACATCCTTCAGGTCCGAATCCCTTGGTCTGAGTTTTTTGATCTCTCAAGCCTCAATAAAAACATCCCTGTCATTGAATATGAGCAGTTCCTCGCAGGTAAATTATATAACGCAATCTATGAATGACTACGTTTGAAGTGTTTCTTTTTCACAGGTTTGTCCTTATACTTTCTTTGGCTTTTCCCAACAGGGAGTCAAAAAAACAAGAAACAGAGTTCATAGACTTGAATGTGAATTTTTTTTTTAACCTTAATTCTGATTGGTTTTCTTTATTTGTTTGAAAATAACTCTACTGTTATCTTCCAGTGGAGGGTGGTTAGTTGAAAGAAGGAGGAGAAATAGAAATCCTTGCACTTTGCTGAACACTGTGCAGCATTATTTAACCTTGGCTATTCTCATTTAAAATTCTCACAGGCCAGTTCTTTTTAAACCCAGTCAGTTGTCTGTTGTCCACGTTATAGAAACATGTAGGTTCAGGAGGGTCCTCTAACCTGCTCTCTTGCTTGGAGCAGGGCTAACTTTGAAGACTGAAGATTAAACCTCAGGGCTGTATCCAGCTGAATTATTTGCAGTCTATTCATGGTCTAGAATAACAGCGTTTTTTCTTTCTCTCTTTTTTTTTTTTTTTAAAGACTCTGACTTGATTAAATTCCAAGTATGAAGAAGTAGCGCCTCATTCTTTAGGTACCAGCCTGATTAGATTTTAAAAATGTTCAAAATGTTGCTAGTAAAAGTAATTGGAGGCTATCATAGTTTGGAAAGGGGGGAAGGAAACTTAAGACCCATTCTTGATCATAACAGTAAGAGATGGTGTCTGAAATACACCAATTCCTTTTTTAATCTCTTTAATTAAAACCATATCAAATATCCTTGAAGTTTTGTAGGAAAAAGAGATTGCTCTTGGTTTGAAAGGCCAGTTTTAAACTGAAATAAACTTTTCAAATGCCTCTGGAAATCTGAGTGTTCCCCATAACCAATTTTTATTCATATAAAAAGGGAAGCAGGTTCCTCGCTGCAGCTGCTGAGTACAAGCTGAGTACAAACCAGTACTGGTCGTACTGAGTACAAACCAGTAGGACAAAATAACCCAATTAACCAAGATAACCCAACCCAAAGTAACCAAAATTACCCAACCCTGTTGGCAGCTCACTCAACTCTGTGTGTAGCACTGTGGTCCCTGTGGCTTCCTAGGGACCCTGGAGGAAGACAGGTAATGCTCCAGGTGAAAGCCAAAGATACATCTGCCTAATCTTGACCCTGTTGAGAGAGGGACAGCCTGCGTATCTTTGGTGAAATACAGACAAGCCACCTTTTTTGGGAGATTGTTGGGCAGTAAAAACTGTGAAGGGGGTTTTTCAGTGAACTTCCTCTCTTCCTAGCCAAAGCTGCCAAGTGCTTCTCCCCTCGCTTTTGTGTACAAAATGGTTTATAGAAGAAGGGTTTTCCCAAAGAGTATGAAAATCACAAGGCTGGCTTTCCCTTAGGATTCAGTGCCCCACTGAGTTACTCACCAAATGCTAAAATCGGCAACGCGGTCACAGACTTCTTGGGCAAAGGAAACACAGGACACCAAAGGTCGCACCTCTGCAATGGGCTCTGAAAGGGTTGCTCTCCTCTACCTTTTGTGAAGCAAGAGTTTAGAAACCCTGACATTTAAGGGAAGAAAGGGGCGTGTGCTCTGAGTCACTCTCTTGGAGGTGCTCTTCCCGTAGCAGCTACCTACTGCATCGAAAGCCTCTGTGTTTTATGGTTTCGCTGATTAGGTAGTTGCTTTGCTGAAGTGTGATTGTTTCCCTTTGCATCAGCCTCAAGGATTATCGCTCTCCTTTGCTTTTCTCCAGGCTCAGCTAGTCCATCTTTTTTTATTGAGAAAATAGGGAGGGGAGAGACTAGTGTAATATTAGAATTTGCAATAGATTTTTTTTTTTTTTTTTTAACTACAAGCGGTTCTATTTTGTACTTTTATCCTGTGGTTTTCTAAGCTTATAAATGCTTTGCTTTGCTTCCTGTTCAGAGTCAGGGGGGCCCTTTATTGAGCAGATATATGTCCTACAAGGCTACGCAGAAGGATGGAAAGAAGGAACGTGGGAAGAGAAAATAGATGAAAGGCCTTGCATTGACCAGCTTATGTATTCCAAAGACAAACATGAGTACTACAGGTAATATCTTGCGGTCTTTTTAGTCTTCTTTTTTGTTGTTTTCAGTGAGAAGTTTGTCTTCTCTAACAGAAGTTAGAGTCTGGTGTGTTTGTTGGAGCGTTGTGAATCTCTGGATGCTTGGGATTCATTTCGTTTGTTTTGAAAACCCTATCAATAACAAAATATTATACTGCTCCTAGAAGGTCTAATTCTAGTAAGTCATCATTTCATATAAAATCTATGCAAAGGTGCTGAACGGTTTGTTTACGTTACGCATCTTCTTTCGAGGGTGTACTGCTGATTCGATTCATATGTTTTTTGACACATTAATTTCAAACACAAGCGTATGAACTATACTTTTTCTGTTCTCTTTCAGGGGATGGTTCTGGGGTTATGAGGAAACACGGGGCCTAAATGTCTCTTGTTTGTCTGTCCAAGGATCTGCCTCTGTTGTGGCTCCCATCCTTTTGAAGAACACTTCAGCCCAGTTAGTTGCTTTGTGTTACTATTTATTGTTGTATCGCATGTCCATAAACCCATTGCCAGTTTGGAAGAGTGGGGAGAGCCTTATGCCACTGTTACGGTGTTTCATCACTGAGTTATTGTGGTCCATTAAAATCATTGTAAAAGGAATTTATACTCTAAAAAGGACCTAACCATAAGTTATGTTAAATGCTGTAATAATAATTACAGATGAAATAGCTTTGAGCTCCTTTTTATTCTCACTCAGGTAGCTAAATATGCTTGCCACCCTGTGCTTACCTTTCCTTCCTTTAGCCTTTCATCCTGTGTCAAGAGGGAACGAGCAGAGTAGAGTTGGTGTTTCTCAAGTTCACGTCTCAGAAATTGAGAGGCACCACCTGATCTTCTTTTACTTCCATCCTCGCTGGTGTGAGCTGGGTTTAGATGAAACAAGCCGCATGTTTCAACTTTCTGCTCTGAGGTGCAGAGATGCTATTAGGATGACCAGAGGAATGGACAGCCATCACATGAGAGACATGGAGCACGCTTACGTTTTCCCAGTAGCAGAATATTTGCAGTCAGCTGCGACCCTTTAGTACCCAAAGACATATTAGCAAAGCAAAAGCCACTGGGGTGTTGCATGGGGGAACAGGAGGAGGAGGAGGAGATAACTGCCGTCTATAAATACATCAGGGGAAAAAATCCCTAAGAGGAAGACAAACCTCGTAAGCTAAAGCATAGTTTTGCCATGAGAGCAAATCCATCCAGAAATATGGCGTCAATAAAATATGACGTCAATACACTTTATTTGGAAATGAGGTGAAGGTCCTCCTCAGTAGAGCAGTGGGAATCTGCAGTGCATCCCATTAGAAGCAAAGGAAGCAAAATCTTGTTTTTAACCAGGGTGTGTTCTGTTAATAGAGGGAG